GGAATGCCAGGCTGTTGCAAAAATCTGAACTTTTCATTTAGGTGCTTAAATAGAAGTGGAGCTATGCTGAAAATGTGACCATTGATCTCTGTGTGCCTGAACTGTAACAGAAAGATGATGCCTTATTTTTTTACTGCCTAAGTACTAGAAGGAAAAAGAAGTACTTGTAGTATCATCTAATCATACATCAAGAATCACAGTTCCCTTCTAACAGAATTATGAAACAACTTTTTGCTCTAGAGGGATCTTGCAGGTAAGGAAGACAATTACATCCAGCGATTCAAATAGATGTGTAGAAAATTGAAAGTGGGATCCCTTGACCTTCCAGGTAACAACTCCTCCTTTCTATTCTTAAACCTCTTTCATTTTAACAGTTTGTCTCCCAGTCACCATATGATGATATAGTAAAAATACCCCTGCAACCCTAGTTGCTCTCCTGTTAAAATATGTACTGCCATACACTGGTTTATTGATTCAAGGAAATAAATCTCTGCTGAAGCTAATATTGACTTTTGTTATGAAAATGGAAATGAATAACTAACTGAATATTGATTTGAGAGAGGAATGATATATGATAAGCTTAAAAAAAATTAAAATAAAAGTAGAATTGCAGCATGGAAAAGAATGCTTCCAAACAACATTTTTAAAGCCTAGTCAATTCCAGACGACAATTACCTGATTATTAGGGAAGAAAGTCTGTTGTTGCCAAATGTCTTAAAAGCACCTAGGAATAGAGAGATGTGCATTCTTCTCTATGATTACTCCAAAGGTTTCTATTTATATTACCTGTTCTGGATCCTAAGAGCAGTTACGAGCTGGCCTGCTACAGCTTGTTTCAATTCAGCTACTGTTCTCCACGTGAAAGGCCTTGCAAATGGAAGATTCTTTATTAGCTGCTCTGATGTGCCAAAGCAGCATTACCATAGCTGCAATCCATTAGCTGTTCTCAAAGCAGGCATATTTGCAAAGGGAAGATCCATTAGTAGGCACCATGATGTACAGTGCTAACATCACGATATTTAATGAGTCTAATTAAAAAGAATTTCAACACATGCCTTTTAAGCAAACAGGGATCAAATTCTTGACCAAACTCAAATATTTAATTCACTTGGATAACTCTGTGCAGTGATTTGGTTGGTACCATGATTTTAAACCATGGTTCAAGCCTAGAAACATGCCTGCAAAGCCAATGCATCATACACACTGGGGACTCACCAGTTTCACAGCAGACTTGCACCCCAGCTCACCCCATTAGCTGCACCCTTTCCAGCAGCTTCTGCCACAACTGTTTCTGTACAAACTCACCAGAACCCGGTTGCAGAGTTCTGATTTAGGTCAGTGCATTTGTACAGGAACAGTCTTCTGTGAAAGTGGAAAAGACTGGTCAAACAGCAGCCCCTTTGGGGATATTCCAGAGATTTGTTACTGAGAGGCCTTGAGGAGTCAAGGGCTTTCCTTCAGCAAATCCAAGCTGGAGCATCACAAATCAGTTCCTTCAAGCTGAACTTTAGGATCAGCCAAAAGGCAGAATGCAGATTTTTTGAAGATTTAGCTGGTGCCCTTTCAAGAGTCTCTGGAGTAGTCAGAGAACATGCCTTCCTGCTCTTCAATCTGTTCAGCAAAGTGACAATCCTCACATTTGCATTTTCTGATGTACACTGGTCATTGCCAAAACTCAAGCTGTGGAGCACAGGCCAAAGGCTTTCCCCTGGCAGCTGTATGCAAAGGCTACAGCACCCCAAGGCAAGAATGCTTCAGATGGCTTTTTTCCCCTTTTTCTTTTTTTTTTTTTTCTTTTTAAAGAACCCAAAGCAATATGCTAACTGCTCCACTAGACTATCCTCTCCACTGATCTAGTCCTACTGGCACTGAATTTCTCCAGGTACATGGAAAGATGCAGAGGCTCTGGTTTATGAGTTACACCCAGAGCCGTGTTGTACAATAGCCACACCACTGCCCCAGGCAAGCGTGCAAGCTCGGGATTTCTGCTAAAACCACCAGCAGTGATGTGGCCAACAAGAACTGACATTTGGGGCCAATGTTCTGAGCACTGCATTTCTAAACTCCGACTCCAGCAGTGCAGATGATGAAAAAGTACACAGCATTACACACAACCCCGGGGCGGGGGAGGGAGGCCCCTGCGCCAAAACCACCCCCTTAGAGCGAATCTGCAGAGCCAGAGACACGTATTTAACAGCTTCAAGCTCTGCTCATCTTCAAAATGCTAATGTAAAGACTCAAAGTCTCCCAAAGGATACCTTACAAGATACCATTTATAACCAGTTCAAGGCTGGAATGTTTTTGATTGTTCTTTGGCTTCTGCAGAATTAAATGTGTAATTAAAGGACCACCCCTATTGAAAAGAAGATACAGTTTAAATACTACCATACCCTGTTAAAGTGAAAAAAACCTTTCTCCAGGGGGAAGAAAACCCACTACTACAGATTAAAAATGAAAATTAGTAATCTTTCCCCGTTTTCGAAAGAAGAAATACTTCTTCCCTCTTAAGCAGCAATTTTACAGAAGTTTGAAACCCTACAGAACTATGAATTAGCCAAAGTTTGAAGGCTCAGCCCAGTTTGAAACAGGGGAATATGACCGGTACTGCTTGTGGGAACAGCCATATGCCCTTCTGAAGTCTTAAACGGGTTTCTTTTCTTTTCCACAAGGGCACAAACTGGCAGCAAGAAGCACCTTGGCAGGTTATGGCTGTACACAATTAAATAGGTCTCCCCAGATAATCAATCTCTGGCACATTCAGAAGTCACTGGGGGTGGAATAACAACATTTTCCCTAATGGCACACACCTCTGAAACTGTACCAGCCTTAATATTCACTACTGGCTCTCCTGTTTCAATTCATTACATTTTATACCTCCCCACTTCAGCCTTAAACTGAAGTCAAGAGTTGCAACCGTCAATCACTGCTCTGCTCTTGAAGTCCTTTCATAACCTGCAGTCTGAACTGAAAGCTTCACAAGCCTGCATTTACCACCACCACGTCCAATAAACTGCACCATGATTCATATTGCTTGTTAATACATCTTGGGGCTCTAATAAGCAAGTTTCACATTGTTGGTACATTTGCCTCATCTCCTCTGAGTGAAATTTTAATGAGTTTAGGAAAGAGAGGCTTCACTGGGAACTACCAGAAAAGTGGGAAAACAAGGATACTTCCTCAGAGATCTGACCACACAAATTTCCAGCAGTAAGAGAAGTGAAAGCTGCATGCCTCTAAATCTTTCGTGTGCCAGAGGGCATAAGTGATGGACTTTTAATTTTATGCAGTCAGTGATACAAGAATCATTTGTTTCTTGTCAATCTGACGCATCTTCTGTGAGTTACAGAAAAGACAAGAGGAAAAGAGAAAAGAACACCACAGAAATTCTTCCCTTACAGTAGCAGACAGATTAATACTGGTATGGCCATTTCAAAATTACCTCTTCATTTCCCTATGAAATTGCCAAATCTTTTCCATGCCACACCTAAACACAATCAATTGTGAAGTTGGAACAAATTCGGAGATCAGAATGAAATACAGTTCACTCAAAGATAATAAGCAGGTTTCTAACTAGTTATCCAGTTAAATCCAGTGGCTCAGGTGGTGTTTTTTTTTAATCCTAAATATGCACACATTCAATCAGAAAGGTTCAGCTGATTCAAGGAAATTAACCGGTGTGCTTCAGCCATCAGATGTATTTTCAAGGTAGAAGCACGAGGGTCCCAGAAGGGCCCAACATCCTGGACTCAAGTCAGCCAACTTACAGAAATATATTATATTTATGCTATGCAAGCAAAGATCAGTTCCATGATTGAGGTCTTCAGGACTGTCACACAACTTGCGGTTTCTCCACATGCACCCCACTTACAGCCGACAAAAGTTGAAGGGGAATGGAGATGTTGTAGATTATCTTTTATTAATCTTTCAATGAGAAAAAATGTGGTTTGCTTCACAGAAAAGAACTCTTCCACAAAGAATTAAACAGAAAAGACAACAGTAGAAAACAGAGTAACTCAGTTTGACCAAAAAGATACAACCCTTAGGATGCAGACACATTTCTATTAGCGTAACAGCAATTTTACCTACAAGCCTAACAACTGATCGATAAGCAATGTCTGGAAAGTACAAATGGTGGAAAACGTTCTTAAATATCTCTGAAATTATTAACAGCAAGTTACCTTTCGATCTTCTTTAAAGACTTCGGCAGCAGTTGTAAAATGTGGAATGGCATTTTTACAGTGTGGGCACCCTGTTTGACATGGGAAGAAAGAAACAGCATAAACGTTAGTTGTAAATAAGATACTGGGAGAAACTCAAGACACAAGGTGAGTTAATGTAAAATTTGTATTAAAAATAATTCTAAACAAGAGTTCTTTGGTTCTGGGAAGAGCAGGACAAGGCATCTGTAGACCATGTGTCAGCTACATGAACTTAGGCATGTGTTTAAAATCCCTCTCACTTCAAGCAGTTTAAGTGCACGCTTTCAGTTAAGTGACATCCCATATAGGGACCATGGTGCAGGGAGCTTTTCTCTGTCGCCTGTCCCTTAAAATCACTGAAAGATCACTAGCCACAAACCAACAAAATGTTTCCCTGCTGTTGTACCTCCTCATGGGCATTACCACGTGGGTTATGACTGTTGTTGCTACAGATACAACTACATTTGGACACAGGAATTAAAGCGGTGCAGTTGTGAACGGGAGGTTGGAATTTGGAATGGAAGTAGCTGGATGAAAAACTCCATATTGAAGATCAAAGGGAGTGTTTAGAAGTGTTTGGGAACTGCCTGTGTTAGGGCTAAGCCATCAGGATCACAAGGGAGGGGAAGATGAACAAGTCCAACAGGCCACACATCTTTCACGTATGGACAGCAGATGTCCAGTACTGGGTTAGGATGACTGCAGCTGGCCTTCTTGGAGACTTTCCTCCTGTCCACCACAAAACAGGCAGCCCCAGAAGAGTTCTACAGACACAGCACACAAGAGCCCCACAGCTTTGTGTGGGAGACGGGCTGATGCTTGTTTGTACGACCACAACATTGAACAAAAGGCCAGTTCATCCCTTGCTTAAACATACACTAAATTTAGTCAAACATTTCAGAAGAAGCCACGGAAGGGGAACAAGAACTGCTCTCTTGATTCAAGATTCGGAGGTGGGCACTCTTAATTCAGAGGCAATGTTTATTGTCTATGATTAATCTAAACAACTCTCAAAATATCAATACTGAGCAAGGCTTTGAAGAGGAACGTACCTGCCTACTTTTTTCAAAAATAGCATAAAGAGGTTTTTCCCAAGCAAAGACTCAGGACACTATTTTTTGCTTAGATGCAGGGAAAAAAGGAACGGACACACTTCTGTCAAGCCTGTGTAACGCTAGCAAAGGCAAAAGAGTTCATCCTGCTATTATTTCTGGATAGGAACAGAACAGAGCACAGATGAGTTGCTCACAGGCTCCAATTACAGCTTATGCTACTGTTGTTCATCATTGTAAAATACTGGCAAACAAGTGGCTGTGTTACTTTTAAGTCAGTACTGAACAAATGCCCTCTTAGGAGGCTTGCAGCCACCCTCTCATAAACTGCACTCACTCTTTTAGCTGACAAGAAGAACAGTATCTGTGCATAAACACTGCACGCCCCTTTTCACAAAGGAAAGGCTGCACATCCCTTTCATCTTCACCAAAAGGCAATTTCGTTGCTTACATACACTGCTTTGAATTTTATAGTGTTGTTTTTTTTTTTCTTCAGAATGGGATTTTGAAAGCACTGCAATGACACACACATGTATAAATACAAGGAGGGTCTATGCAATAACTAAGAATGCTGAAAAGTCAAGGGGACATTTCCTGGGAAACTGAGGCACTTCTGCAAATCCACCTTAATGGCTTCAAACTCTTTACGCAGCATAATAGCAGTCTATCCTGATGGCAGCTGTGTTTCACGGGGAGATAGCGCAGGTCCTCTACAGCTTGCAAACTATTAACTTTGTTGAGCAGTTTGGCATTTGCCTGGAAGAAAATGGTCAAGAAAAGAAGGAGGAGGAGGAGGAGGCGGCGGCGGCGGCGGCTAGGGCTCCAGGCTGCTCACATGTCCATCAGCTCACTTCGGCGACCCATTTTCTCTCTCACCACTTGCCTGTCCTGTCTGCCTGATAGTGAAAAGCCTTCAGGCCAGGCCTGACTCTTCATACATCTTGGATAATGTCCTGTACCGTGGGGTGACTGCATCAGTTGACTTGTTAGCACTGGTCTACACAAATAAATCATAACTGGTGACAACATCTAAAAAGAATTCCAGAGACAAGAAAATAAGGAAAATCAGGCACCCCTAAAACAAGAACACTTGTTCTAGTGTGCGTGCTTACACACTGTAGTTTACTCAAAAGTGCTTCCAACTGTTACACTAAAACATAAAGGCTCCTAAAATCTTAAACCTTTCAGGCTCCCCTTTCTGCTTATGATCTTGAGCTTAAACTTTACATTACACCAAACAGTAACTTTCAAATCCTCAATAAAAGATACTTCAAGAGAAATACAAGACTTCATGTCTTTTTTTTTCCCCTCTAACACCTTTATGATACATCAGTCAATGCGTTTCCCACCTCACAGGTGCTGGGTCTGCAGTGGACGGGGCATTTGGTAAAGCCTCTCTTTAAGCCCCCCTAAAGTAGCAGCACCTAAGAGCTCTCCATGAGACACACTCTTCAAGAAAACCAGAACAGGTTTCAACAAGTAACAAGCATATTCTTTCAGACACAGGAAAGTCCAACGGTTATTAAAAATGCAAGCTGACATTTTACGGGGGCCAACAGATAGCTGGTAAAAAAACAGCCCAAGTGGCTGTTTAGCTGGCAACCGTTCAGAGAAGCACCAGCAGCTGCTCAATGTCCCTTCCACCATAGCAGGTCACCACTGCACCTGCTGCTGCACTGTGTTCAATAGGTGGCATTGCGAAGGGCTTTGAGTGTGGTTCTCAGAAAAGATGCACCTCTTGTAAGGCCAAAAGGGAGCATCTGATTATCTAGACTGTTACAGCGTTTTGGAAAAGGTAGGCAAAATCAAACATGCTTTGAGGTTACGGTCAACAACACCACACAGATGAGAGGAGTGCCATGTAATTCAAAACAACTGACAAAGAAACCTATGCTCACAGCTTTTATTTCATCTTCTTTGTGATCTTCTCATCTTTCCACTCTAACACCAAACGACAAAAAGTTACCTTCATTTACCAATGTGAAGCTCCATCCCTCCTCCCCTCACTTCTCTCTTGGCCCAGCCTCCTTTCTTTACTGCACTGTGCTTGCAAAACTAAAACACAACCATATGGCTTTTGGCAGAGCTGACTCCAAGTCCAGTAGGCATTTTGTTAGCCTTGGACGTCCATCCACGGAACAGATGTGAACGCTGTGTTGAATTCCCACGGAGTTTCAAGGAGTCACCAAAAAAGGGGGAAGGAGCACATCATATGGAATAGCAGAACTTCATCTGTTACAACTTAGAAGGATTGCCAAATGCAGCAAACACTTGGAAGTCACCCAACCCAGTCATTCTATTTAAAGCACACACGCCAAAAAAAAATAAAAGCAGAGGTTGATGTCTTCATTTTGACAGACGGAAAACTTGTTCTCCCCATTCCCTCTTCACACCCACTATCACACATTTATTTTAAGTGTTAACACTATCTTCCAGATTTGAAAGTGCAAAGAAAGGAAATGTACCGAGCATGGTACATGGGGATAGGAAGTGTGCAGGCTCCTTACAAAGGATTTTCCAGATGGGCTGCAATGGAAAGAGATTAAACTACTGGCATCTGAAGGTGCGGGTAAGGCGTCAAGAATCAAAAGGTCCTGTTCCCTTCCCAGTAGTATTTATAGGACAGTAAGTTACTATGGACTAAAGAAGTGGGAAGATTCATTCCATTTCGTTTTAGTTGAAAAATTTGGGCACACAGGCTTCCTACAAGGCCAAGAGATGGAGTTTCAGCAGCATTTGAAGTAGCCCTTCTGGGAGCAGAGCCTTCTAATATAGGTGCAGGGCTTTGCTTTACCAGTTTTCTTTCTTTGTTTTTACATCGTTGTCAAATTTGATCTTAACAAGGTTAACAGCGGATGTGAACTGAAGAGTAATTTCCTGTGCCTGACTCGAGAAATCTGAAAGAAATCTGCTCCTGGAACATCTAGACTTTCCACAGGATCCCAGCACTGGTGCTCAAAAACCTCTAATCACTTCTGCAAATCTCAAGCTAACTTCCTTTCCTAACGAAGAAACACACTTGCATCACCTGGCAGGAAAGCAAGAGAGCTTGACGCGTAATGCGCATGCGGTAGCATGCATTAAGGCCACTCTCTGTTCCCAATCAGCAAACACTACAGCTTTATTGGCTCTGGCCAGATCTTCGCACCCCTGTGCTCAAAATTTTGCACTATAGAGGGCTCCCCATGCAGCCCGTGGTGGTATCTGCTCTGCCTGACCGCTGGAGCCTGCCAGGGTACGAGGCCTGCCTGCTTAAAACACAGGTCCGTGGATCCATATGATAACACACCTGCAATAGATGACTTTCAAGTTCTCTTTGCCTTTACACTATAAATTTAAATTTTTACATGAAGTCAGTATTTTCCAGGGTTTTATTTTCCAGCATTCACCTTGCAAAGTTGGTAAGGGTTGGGAAGGCACACTGCAGTACAGTCACGGTGGGCACCGTCACATTCCTCACCTTGAAAACCAAGTAGTTCTCTACTGATCCAGTACACAAAAAATATGGTTTCTGTGGGTAAAAATTCAAGAGGAATGGTTGATGAACAGCAGACAAGGGAAATCAAGTAAGCAAGCAAGCAGGCTTCATTCAGACCCATTAGCACTGAGGGGCTGGAGAGGGAGTCAGATTAAATCTCCTCTAATTAGAGAGGCATTTAAAGGAAAGATAGTGAGTCTTTTGGGAGATGAAGTTATGGAAAATATATAGCCCAGCTTATTTTCCATGGACTGAATTTACTGATAGCAGGAACAACTGCAGGAATGACTGCATGGTACAGTGTCTTCTCTGGGCGTCTTCGAGGAAAGAACCAATAAGCTGGCTTTGGTTTGGACACAGAAAGGTGTTGAAGGGGCCAACAGAGAAGCTGGATTCATCCTCATGGAAGCACAAGTTTGAGGACTCTGACGAAACAAAGAAATGAAGAAATAAAGAAGACATAAAGGTTGAGCTGGATGTGGTTTCCTACAGAATGCCACAAAAAGTTTGTATACATGAT